ATTTGGTATGTCCTGGAATCATGAAATTCAATTCAATACTTTCATAATATCCACAAATTACTAAATACAGGTAAAACCAAATAGTGGTGTTATTTTTATTCTGTCCATTAGCATTATCACAAGTAATCTTTAAATGCTTTTCACCTTTATTTAATTTTTTAATTCCATCAAAAATCATGCTAAGAGTGCCATTAGGACCTTTACTTATGATTTCATCTTCATTAAGAACATAATTGATTTGTTTCCTTACTGCTTCATCTTGAATACCAAATAAATGAACTTTACATGGACTAAGGTAATATATTTTACTTACTTGTTGATCTGAATGGGGTACATGAACATTTTGGGCTCAATCATAACTATAATGAGCAGTAGCATCAATACCGCAATATTTTGTTTTGCCCTTTGAATAATTTTGATCAACTAATTTTCTTTGTTCTTCTGCTAATTTGGTGTTTTTATTATAATAATTTCTTTCTAATCTTGCCTTGGACAGATGTTCTTTAAATCTTTTAAGCAAATCTTTAGCTTCTTCCTCTTGGCGAGCATTATAATGTAAACCATCTCTAAAATGTTGACAAGTATCACACAAATCAGTCCTTGGACTCATGATTTGAATTTCTGGTATCAATTGATATCATAACTTTCTGAAGGCATCATATTTTAAAAGTTTCAATTTGTTATCTTCTTCTAGGCCAGCCAGAAAGTCTCTATGCACTGATTTATAACTCATTTCAGTTGGTAAAAAGATAACTGATTGGGTTATTCTATTAATACTTCTTCCTGGACTTGGTAATCCATGGACTTCTGCATAATTTTCTAGAAAATTCTTTACAATTTCAGCAACATTTTTGTCAATCACCATTTTAGTTTTCCATTGAGGCATTCTTTTAATATTGCCATGAATTCTTGGCAAAAGACCATTTTTTATCAGATGATTTCTGATATTTTCAAAATAAGTTCTGCCAATCCCTAACATATTGAGATAAGTTTCTTGTGTGTTGTGATCCCAATGATAGAAAGTTCTTTTATTAGACCTAGTTTTCTTTTTAAGGCGTCTGCTAGTGTTTGTTAATCCACCATCCATTGCTTTAAGCTGAGCCATTAAAAATATATCTTGTTCAGACTTGGAAAGAGCTTGAAAAGATTCTCTTAATTCTGCAAATTGTTCCTTGGGAATTCTTGAAGAACAACCACAATTACAACCTTTTTCTAAAAAATCAATTGCTTTTTGATATTCATTAGAACCATTATATTTATTATTACTTTTCATATACACCTATCCCTATATATATAATTTTATAATTTCATGTTCACTTTGTAGGTTTTCATTTATTTTAAAATTGAAATTGGTCTTGTGATGACAAGCAAAGTAAGCAGAAAGAATTAAATTTGAGTGGATTTGTGAATAAATATCAGAAATATATATTCAATAATTGATATAAAAAAGTAAGGCTCCAAACAAATCAATGAAATTTGAACTGATTCGAATCAATTCAAATTCGAATCGAATCGAATCACCTAATTTTTGATTCGAATCAGTTCTAATCGAATTGAACCAAATTTGAATTGTACCCTGATTCGATTTGATTCAAATATTAAATATATATAATTTCAAACTGATTCGATTTGAACTGACTTGAATGTATAATTTGATTTGAACTGATTCAACTCAACTCGATTCAAACTAGTGATGGTGGTCAAAACTACGCTTAATTGCCGAAATTAATTGGCCTAAACTTTGACGAAACTAATTTTAATGGCTGAAATTGGGAGTTTTTAAAATAAAGTAGATTGATTTAGATACTTATTGGACGAAACTATCTTTTTTTCAAAACAGTTTTGGCTACTATCACTAAATAATATTCTTTATCGATTAAAAAATTTAAAATATACACAATCTTAGTTAGCAGATAGTTTGTGTTTAGAAATTTTTTTCCAAAAGTCCATTATTGTTATATTCAAAACTTGTCACATGACCATTAATATTAATATCAAGAAATCCATTATTATTATCATGGAAAAATGAAAAACTTGAATAAATATCATATCAAGAAGAATTTTATTATCATTAAACCATTCTTAGACCTCAATCCATTAGTATTCATTTAATTGAGGCACATTAATTGAGATTCACTGTGTAATATTTAAATTATCAAATTAAAAATATAAATTTAATATGACATTAAAAAAATTTTAGGAATCCGGTTGATTCAAATCAATTCAAATCAAATCAAATTGACTACAGAACAAATCGAATCGAATCGAATCACTCTCAAATTCGAATCGATTCAATTCATTCGGAGCCTTATAAAAGAGAAAATAAAAATCCTCAATTGGTTCCATGAAAAATAAATATGTTAGATTTAAATTATTTATTATTACTAAAAATGGATAAGATAAATTATCTTGAGACCTGAGATTTATTGATCAACTAAAACAGATAAACAAATAAATAAAAGATAATTATTGTTATTTCTAAAAAAACAATTGAAGAAAATTGTTGATTATACTAAAACATTAAAACAGATTTTTTTATCTTAAAATTAATGCACAATGTAGTCTTCTGAGATTTTTGCTGAATGTATCATTTGACCTAATAAAGTCTAATTGAAATGTACTAAAAAAAAATAAACAAATGTTTGAAAATTTTTTTTTTTTAATCAAAAAAGAAATTTCAAAATATAAAAATATGATAGATGTTGGACTGAGTTTGATGTATCAAAAAAAACATTTAATGACATTAATTCAACCAAACCTTTTTTAAAAAAAACTGACTATCACTTGTGTGATTGATTCAATCATTAACACTGAGAAACAAACAATTTCAGAATTATTGAAATTAATGGCATTGAAATAAATAATAATTTTTTAATTATATAGATAAAAAATAAACAAGACTTAGCTATTTAATCATTTCTTTGTATGTGAATGCCTCCATCCATCAAATATTCATGATGGTCAAAAGTATTAATATTTAACAATTAATTATTTAAATGTTTATTTTGTTGAAAAAAATATACATTGATAGTGTACATTTTCTGTGCTTAACATCCATGTGACCCTAAGTCTGGACAAAAGATCCCTTTCTATGAGTTTGGCTGGTATATCCCAAAGGCATCCCCTGTCTTGTCAGTGGCATGCCTACTCACCAACAACCCTACCCCCATTTACTAAAATAACAAATTCAGTTGGTCAGATAAAAATTTAGAGAAGCAGAAAATTTGGGAAAATGATTAATTTATAACAAAACATACCAAACAAAATCCAAACCATTTTTATGGCTTTTTTCTTTTTCCTTGTTGGCAATATTGCTGACAAGGATGTATATAATCATGCAATGATATTAACCTACAGGACAGAGGACTGATTGGGCAAAAACCCAGTCCAGTCCCCTACCCAAAATCATTAAATTGGTTAGCATCAGAAAAACAGAGAATTTATGAAGTGGTTATACAAAACAAACACTATTTTACAACTTCCCTCTTAACATCAGAGCCCAAATGCAATTTCAGGGCCGCCAACCCTGCTCTGAATTGCGACCTCCTGTGCTTGAAACAAGCTGCAGATTCTCGTTGCTTTGATGGATCTGGATATTTACATGGCATTAATATTCATCTGCAGAGTTGCGACTTGGTCACAGTGCCATCCTTACCCTAGAGGTGGGATCGTTACAGGCAACTTTTCGGCCAGCATGCCAGCAGCCTTCTCTGGTCTGGGAAGATTAGTGAAAGTGTCATTGACGATTGATGCAGTCTCGGTAAATTCCAGGGCCATGTTGCCCCCCCCCTGGAGTTCGGTTGCATCATTGTATCATCATAGAAATCTTGGTCAGATTAGCCTTATGCACACGAGGAACATGTGTGAATGACTGTAAAGTGTTCAAGGTAGCGTGCGTGCTTAACATCTGCCAATTTCCTGTAATCAAACATCGCATACTCGAAATGTTTCTTTTTCAACCGTGTGCTGCCTTGACATCTTGTGATTATAATAATATAATTAATATTATTATTATTACGATTACGCAAAGCAAAATATTTTCAATGAAAATCTTGTAATTACCCAGCAAGATCTGCTCTGCGTTTTGATTTCCAATTAAAATATTTATAAACCAAAATAAAAATATACCACATTATATCTGGTTAGTTATTAACACTTCTTCTTTAGGAGTCCCGAACAACAACGTTCACGTTTTGTCACCTTGGACTCTGTCAAAAAATAAATTGTTTTTCCAAGAAAAAAAAAATCAAAAAAAAAAATCAATTCGCGTCTGTCCTACCAAAAAAAAAAACCAATAGGATAAATAATCAGCGTGTACGCGTCGATCAAATAACAAACTTCTTTTTAAAAATTTTTATTAATGCCACGACAACACGACAACAAGAAAAGAAAACATCAAGACCATACTGGTGAACTTGCTGGGTAAGTGTTTTAAGGATGGTGGTGGTGGTTATCGCCTGCCACTTGTCGTCACTCTAGTTCTAGTTTAAGAAATAAATTTTCTAGTTTACTAAGATTGACTTTTATCAGCACCACCAACGATATCAAGACGATCAGAGAACACATTGAAATTTGTATTTTAGAAAATAAAAGAAACAAAAAGGAAACAAACGAAAAGAAAGCCGCAATATCAAAATATTGGAAAAAGAATGTGAAAATAAAAAAAATTTATCAACAATTAAAAACAAAATTACAAATCTTGAATCGCAGATTGTAAATAAATCCCTGGAATTAAAGAACTTAAATAGTGAACTTATCGAACTTAAAAATGCCGAAGAAGCTACCACCAAAGAATTGATGATAATTCAAAAAGAACACAAAGAAAGTAAAAATTTTATTGAACAATTGGATGCAGAACGCTATAAAAACGAAAGCACTCGTCACCATTTGCACAACAACATTCAAGATCTAAAGGGAAATATTCGCGTTTTTTGCAGAGTCCGACTGCAAACTCCCGCCGAGAAAGACGTTCCTCTTACCAATATTGAGTACCCAGAAAAATGCAAGAGTAAAAAAATTGTGATTGGATCGGCCGTGAAAAATTACCTAAACAAAAAGAAAAATATTTTAAAGGAATATGAATTTGATCATGTTTTCAAACCTGATAGCACCCAAGGACAAGTATACACTGAGGTCGCTGCTGACATCATCCAATCAGTGGTTGATGGGTACAATTGTTGCATTTTTGCTTATGGTCAAACAGGTGCAGGGAAAACTTACACAATGCAAGGTTCTGATGATACTCCAGAAAGTGAAGGTATGATCACAAGAGCATTCAAACACATCTTTGATCTTGTCAACGAATTGGAGTTTCAGGGGTGGAATTATACAATTGAAGGTCAATTCATCGAAATATATAATGATCGAATCTATGATTTGCTTATCTCACATGGAGAAGTAAAAGATGTGAAGATAACACATAACATTGGAGAAGGTTCAACAAGGATCACTAATGTGAAAACAGGTAAGAAAAAGAGTCATTTAAAATAATGATGATGATGATGATGGCGATAATGATGATGATAAATAATTTTATTATTATTATTATTATTATTTAGTAAACCTTGAATCACCAGATTATGTTAATCAAGTGCTTAGATCCGCAACAAAGAACCGAACTGTTGCTTCTACAAAAATGAACAATAATTCCTCAAGGAGTCACAGCATATTTATGATTCATATCAAAGGCTCTAATTCTGTTACAAATGAGAAACGATCAGGTTCCTTGAACCTTATTGACCTGGCAGGTTCAGAGAAAATATCAGCTTATGAATTGACTGGAGATCTTCAAGCTGAAACAATAAATATTAACAAGAGTCTCAGCAGTCTAAAAACAGTTATACAAAACATAAAGGAAAATGCAATCAATGCCCATATGGTGATGCCAAGCCTAGTCTGGGAGGAGATAAGGGAAAGTTTTGTCTAAAGCCTTCCAACATGTTTAAGTCCACTACACCCGTGGAAAAAATTCCATGGTGCTGAATTGCGCTTGCGCTGTCTTGCATGTATGTGATAGGAAAGTTTTAATTAAATCTGACGCCTGTGATCAACATCAGATTTATTATTCATGAGCAACCATGATTGATAATCAGGAAGAGTAATTTATTATTGTGAATCCCAGAGATCTGGGCAGACATGCATTATTAAAAGTTTCATTTTTGCATGGCCTTGGTATTATTACTACCTGGGTGATGCAATTGTTTGTTATGTCAATTATAACATCAAATGTATCAAATAATAATCATGACCATCATGAATATTTGATGGATGGAGGCATTCACATGCAAAGAAATAATTAAATAGCTAAGTCGTGTTTGTTTTATTAAAGATGTATGATTAATTATATTTAAAATATACAATAAAAAAATTGCAAGACTGCACCACTATGTCAATCAAACTATCAAGCTGTTATGGTTTTCTAATTTAGGGTCCCATCTTTCTTTGCTTATATATAATCTATTGGTCCAACTTGGGTAATGGGGTATCAGCAAATATCAGAATCTGATTATTCTTTAAAAAAATAATTTTGGTATTGGCATACTGATAAGTTAATAATATTCTTAGTATTTTTATCATATAGTCTAAAAGCCTACTAGTAAATATTGAAAATGCCGATATTTATCAGATATTCTTTTAAAATTAATCCTTTTTTTAGGCTTAGTTTAATAAACCAATAACTCTTTTTTATATTATAATTAAATTATTTCTAAATCTTTTTGTGCTAAAATAATATCATAATCTTGAGTAGCAGTTAGGTTTCTATTCAAATAAAGTTTACTGAATAAAACAAATAATTTGAGTAAAAAATAATTCAAATAATAGTAATTTGAATAAAATAAAACAAATAAAACAAATTAATTCAAATAAAACGAATAAAGCGAATAAAGCGAATAAAGCGAATCAAAAAAAAACAACTCAAATAGAAGAGAATAACTCAAATAAAAGAGAATAACTCAAATAATTAATAATTTGAATAATTCGAATTTGTATTATGAATAGAAACCATCCATTAATTTAATGTTGTTCCCTTGGTGTTAATGATTGAATCAATTACACAATTTAAACAGCATTGTTTTTAAAGAATTTATTTCAAAATAATATTATTAAATTTATAAAATTTAATTTTGATACATCAATCTCAGTCCAAAATCAATCATATTTATATACTTCAAAGTTTCTTTATTTCTTTTTTTGATAAATAATAAATTTATCCTTTGTTTATTTTAGTAGATTCAAATAGATTTTATTAGATCAAATGGTACACTATAGCAAAATTTCAAAGAACCAAATGTATCAATTACACAAAAATACACATAATAAAGAACACAAAAAAATATTAGCTTGTAGCTTATAGATCCTGTAGAATATTTCATGTTTCCTGATTTTTTATTATGTCATTATTATTATTGATTGAAATTTAATTATTTTTCGAAAAAGAAACTTTGCATGAATAATTTATAGGGTCTAGTACTAGGCCACAAACCACACAGTCAACCCCGTTATTCCATTCAAAATTAGTTTCTGGATCCAACTTTGGTTTAACAGGGTTTTCGGATTAACTATGTAGTTGTTCTAAAATAAAAAATCTGTTTACTGAAACAATAAAATAAATTTATTTGTTTATCTGTTATAGTATGATCATCATTAACAATATTCTTATAGTACTGTAATACCAAAAAAAAAAATAATAATTCTATCCAATTAAATTCAATTAAAACTTTGAATATATTTGTAAAACTAAAGCTAATATACATATATATAAGAATGGTTGATTTTTTTTATGCAAGATATTTCCTTATTTGTATTTCTTTGGTCAAGATTGACAAGCATTTCATGATAAACTGGGCAGATTTTTCATCCATTTTTAATGCTAAATTATTAAACAATCCTAGAAAATCATACAAAGTGAACATAAAATTATAAATTATATGTATAGGGATAAGTGTATATGAAAAGTAATAATAAATATAATGGTTCTAATGAATATCAAAAAGCAATTGATTTTTTAGAGGTAATATTATATACAGAAAGGTTCTTTTTGCGGAATATACAGAAACCTACAAATTAGTATAAGATTTTCAATGATTTTCAATTGATAATTTTCAAAAATCACTTATTGTAACAATTTACTTTGTAATCATATACAACGTCTTATGTAGTACATTAATATTAGTTTCATATTTCTTAAAATATTATTCTGAATTTCAATATATTTTTTTTAGTTCAAAAATTATGTTACATTTTATGGTGAATCATTCATAAATAAAATTTATGGGCTAACACAAGATCCAGCTACAAAAGAATATATCTTTATAATGGAGTACAGAAAAGACAAAAGTTATCAAAATTATGAAGATCCATATATTAGAAAAAACGAATATGGAAAATGTCCAACTTGTGATAAATATAATACTAATGATTTATGGTGTCAATCATGTGATCCAAAACTATTAACTGAAGGATGGAGTAGTGGTAACAAAACATTAGATGAGTTGATTAAAAGCTCACAACTTAAATCAACCAAGTATCATTATAGTAATTATCTTCAATGGATTCATTATAATGATTTAACAAACATTGAAAAGATGGGTGAAGGTGGTTTTGCAACTATATTCAAAGCTACTTGGTTAAATGGTTATAAAAGTGTGAATTATAAAAATAATAAAAGAATCAGTAAAAATATGCCTGTGGCATTAAAAAAACTACATAATTTACAGAATATTTCTGATGGATTTCTTAATGAGGTAAATTATTACATTTATAATGGTTCATATTTTTAAATTATTATTGTTGTAATTAAATATTTTATTTGTTATTTTAGTTCAAAAATTATGCAAAGTTTCATGATAAAATTTATATTTATGGATTAACGCAAGATCCAATTACAAAAGAATATATCTCTGTAATGCATTACATGGAAGGTGGAAGCCTTCAAAATGACAAATATTCAAAGGAGAGAAACAAACAATATGGGGAATGTCCAACCTGCTACAGATATAATACTTATCAGGCATGGTGTCAATCATGCAACCCAAAGCTATTAACTGAAGGATGGACTAGTGGCAATGAAGCATTTGATGAATTAATTAAAAGCACACAACTTGAAGCAACTGAGTATAGTAATTATTATCTTCAATGGATTCCTTATAATGATTTAAAAAATTTTGAAAAAATAGGTGAAGGTGGGTTTGCAACTATATACAAAGCTACTTGGTTAAATGGTGAGAAAAGTGCAAATCATCAATATAAAAGAACTAGTAAAGATATGACTGTGGCATTAAAAAAATTACATAATTCACAGAATATTTCAGATGAATTTCTTGAAGAGGTAAATTATTTTACTAATAATGTTTCCAGATTTTTAATTATTATTGTTATAATTAATATTTTATTTGTTATTTTAGTTCAAAAATTATATGAAGTTTCATGATAGCAAATTAAAAAACATAATTCATATTTATGGATTAACACAGGATCCAATTACAAAAGAATATATATTTGTGATGCAATATATGAGTGATGGAAGTCTTCAAGATTTTTTAACAAAAGATTTTAAAAATTTAAAATGGGATATAAAAATTAGTATTCTTAGTAGTATTATTGATGGGTTAAATGATATTCATAAAAAAGAAATTATTCATCGTGATTTTCATAGTGGCAATATTCTTCAAAGTTATATTGGTTCATATATTGCAGACTTAGGATTATCATGCTCAGCTAGTCAAATATCTTCATCAAACAAAAATGATATATTTGGAGTATTGCCATATGTTGCACCTGAAGTTTTAAGGAAGAAACCATATACAAGTGCATCAGATATATACAGCTTTGGAGTCCTGATGTCTGTAATATCAACTGGCCAACAGCCATTTAATAATTTGGCACATGATTTAGATCTTGCAATGAAAATATGTGAAGGTGCAAGACCAGGATTCTCAAACAACACACCAAAATTCTATATTGAACTAGCATTCAGATGCATGGATGCTAATCCAGATAAACGTCCATCTGCTAGAGAAATTAATGAGATTATTCACCTTTGGAGTAAATCACTTAATGGTGGTTATGTAATGAATAATCCTGAAGTTTATGGATATTCAAATGAGCAGGATGAATTAGAATCAATTAGAAAAATATTTGATAAAATGGATAAAATAGAATTTGATCCTTTGACAATTACTTCAGCAATTCATCCAAATGCAGTTTACACCAGTAGATTATTGAAATTTACAAATCTTCCACAACCTGTGAATTCCAATAAAATAACAATTATTGGTGGCAATGATGGTAATTATTAACATTTAATCATTGATTATTTTCATGTTTAAAATTTTTAATATTAATTAATATCCACTTAAATATTATAACCAATTGAATTAACTACTTTTGTAGATTCTCAACAGATTGATTTAACTCTACCAGATGAATTACCTGAATAAGTTAAATCTTTGTCATATTTATTATTTTATTTATTTGGTGTGATATTAAATATAATAGCTTCTCATAATTGCCATATCTTTGGAATATTTTTTTCATTTTGAAATTGGATGTCAAATATGCACATTCAATAATTTTATTGTTGTATAATTTTTGGGTTACTATATATCTAAAAATATAAAATTCTGTTTTTTGTGACAAAATATTTATTTATATTATTATATGTAAATAAGATGTGATATATTGAGATATTAAGGTTTTGGTGTATAGTAAATGTTCTATATTGTCAATTGCTTGATTAATGACATTACTTGAACTTGCATTTCCTATCTTTGGACAAATCAAAATATAGTGATGTTTAACAAAAAAAAAGGGAAAAAATATTTATTTTATTCAATGTTGCTAATTATTCACAGTGTACTCAGTTTTCCAAAGGGAAAATTGAGCAATTAACATATTATCAAATAATAAATTGATTTATTATTAAGCTTTAATTTTTATTAGCAAATAAATACGAATCTGATTAATGTGATTATTAATAATACGCTGATGAAGAAGATATATATAATGTGTTGTATGATAATAAATAACATTCATTGAAAACAATATAAATAACCAACCTACGAATACTAAAGATTGTGCTAATACTCTTCTTCAACATCCCGACTCAACCCAATCCATCCACATCTACACAATCAACAATTTATAACATGTACATACCAAATGAATAATAAATATACACAACTTAAGATAAGTTAATCCTGTTTTTGTTTACTACAACTAGGTATATAATAACCATATTCTTTGCAATTGGAACATTTTTTCAATGTCCTTTTTTATAATCATATTCTTCAGCTTTTTCTTTATCAACAATAACAATTGGTTCATTATATTGATCAATTGTAATAACCTCACCATTCTGAGATTCGTTCATTTCACCCAAATGATTATCAATATATGTATATTATTAAGAGCATTGCCTTATTTTTATGTACAGAATGTTTTTGAGATATAATACTCTTCAACTTCCCAATCCAATCAACACATCTATTTCTACTTCCAATCATGATTGTTTCTGCTGTAACAAGTCAATTGTTTTAAACGCGTCATATAGATCATTGTATGTAGATTTAAATTTCATGGCATTATACAAATCTTTAGTGATCTGATTTTTGTTGCACCTAAGCCACCTTCGCCAACAAAGAATTTGATTCCATTTAGTATACTATCTGAATTTAGGTCCTAATTCTAGGTTTTTGGGATTCAATGATTTTCTCTTATATAATTTATTACAATCATAACATTGATGTGCATGCTTTCATATTGAAAACGCAATTTTCATCATAGATTCTAAATAACTATAAATTTAAAAAATAAAAAAAACAGCGTTGCTACGTTATAAATAAAGTTCCTTAGAAATAAAAAAATTTTCCGGCTATATTGCATTAAAGAAAAAAATTGTTTTTATGTCATTAATCAGATTGTATACTAATATATTTGTGCTTGATCGATTTTTCCTCAATTCAAGCACCCAATTTGCAACTAGGATACGGATTATTATAATTGATACATCCATACTATTAAGAATTTACCATATGGCTGGTGTGACTATAATTGCAAAAAAAAAACTTATGGGAATAATAATAACGATGGCTTAATTGATAAATTTAAACAATTATGTTAGAGATAACATCTCGAGATTATTGACCCAAGAAAATATTTGTCAGGTGAAAAAAATCATAATTATCATTCAAATTCATTCATAAATAGTTCACTAAGAGGAATCATCGACTAATTCAAATGAATGAGATAATAAATTTATTGCTTTTAAAAGTTATTGGTAAATAAGATTTTGATATCTAACTACATATGTAAACTCGATAAGTCGGTCACTCGATAAGTCGGTTTACTCGATAAGTCGGTCATATGAGCTCACCCCCACATGACCGACTTATCGAGTTTACATATGTAAAGCTTGAACTTGGGCTAAATTTTCAGCTCGTCTCGACTTAACTCGAGTTGTTACATAGATTTTTTAGGTAACGAACAATTAACTCTACTATTTCATAATGCTTTTATTTTATTTATGCGCATCATCACCTAAAAAACAATTTAAGAACCTATTTTTTTTAGAACTCAGCTCAAACTTGAAAATTTAGATTTTAACTATGAAACGAATAAAACGAATAAATGCTGAAATTTGTTTTTCTCAAATAAAATGTTCAAAAAGTGCATTGACTGAGTATAAGAGATTGGAAAAAGTTAATTGTAATGGATTGAAAACTTTAATGTAAATGTTATAGGTAGGCTTGAGGATAGCACATCTAAAGCTCCGAATGGTTCGGCTCAAACCGAAAAATTTCGGTAATTTAGGCTTGGAAGTCCCTTTGTTAACATGTATGGTTTTATCAAAAGTTTGACCTTTATTGACTAAAGCTGTACTCCTTAACAAGTGTTTACTATATGCTTAACCTAAAGTCGAATTTGATTTTTTATCAGTGCTCTTTCTTGTACCTAGAAAGCTTTGGCACATTTAATAGTGCCAGATAAATAAATGTGGCTCTTTTACAAAGCTCAAAGTTTTCTATAAAATTTCCTTTGAATCACTTGTGGTCGATTCATTTTAGTTTATTTTATTTTGTTAATTGCAAATAAACTTGAGCAGCTTGTTTAACAGCCTTATGTTTATATGAATTGCTTGTTGTCTTTTATCACAGCGCTTCGCATTTAACAAAAAATAAAATAAAAGCAATATTTTTTTATTAACAATGATTTTAGAATGTTAATGTGCCATTTT